TTCAAATTTTTTTTTATAAATCAACATTTTTATGAGTTCGTAGCTTGGATTATTTCGCAGTTGGAGGATTTCTGAAGAAAGTATATTAACATTACTATATATTTTTCATTATTTAAGTAGTATTTATTGATGCATACAGTTTCGACATTATTTAAATTATCCTTCCATATTTAAATAGCATCCAAGAACATGAAATACTATCTCGCCGCTTTGAAATTATATCCCGATGCTATCATTGTCGTTTAAAGGGGTTTAATAACAGCTTATTTTGTGCTTATCGCAAACTGATAATGCTCCTAAAATTTAATAATAAGTTTAAAAAATTCAGTAAAATGAAAAACAAAATTAATTTATCTGCAAACCAGTTTTTTGATAGAATATTTGAAAGAGTAAAAAACGCATTGACTTATATATTAATAGCTGTGTAACTGAGCCAATAAAAACGAGCAGAGCAGGAATGAGCTGCAAGGCCTCAACCAATCGCATAATGAGGATACCTCGTAACCACACCATTTGCTTCTTACCTCCTTGTCCTAAACTTATTTTATCAGGAGCTTTCTTCTGCTGCATATTGGGCCAATCCACTGAATACTGTAAGCTGGACTCGAGCTTGAATCTGGCTGAAGAGATTTGGCTACATGGTTATTTTCATCCCATATGTAACGTGAATATGAGCCAGTTTCTCTCAGAACGTTTTACAAGACAGGCAGACAATCATCACAGAATTTTCCCCTAATAGTAATAGATAATTTTTATGCATTGTTCGCACACTAGAATCAGTCTCAAGGATTCAAGAATCAAGCATTATTCTTTAAAATCTGAGAGATTATTGTTCGTTAGAGCTATGCTACCATACAGTTCGTTGATGAATACGTATCGCGAATCCATATCGTGATTTTTATTCACTTACTTTATAAGCTTTTTTCACTTTTTCTGAACTGTCCAGGAACTCTACTACCCAGTTTGAGCTGAGATGTCTGAAGCCGAAAGAGTTCCCCTGCTTTCCTTAACAAACAGTATTCAGCCGAAATTTTAAAAGATGCATATACTTCCCCACTAATATTTTTTTTTTTTTTTTTTTTTTTTTTTTTTTAATTTTTGCTTTTACTCTCTCTATTTCCATTTTTAATTATGCTGAAAAGTTCTATTCATCCAACTTGCTTTATTAGATGCACTTTGATTAAGAGGATATTTCCTCTCTTTTTCCCTCATATATAAGCTGTAGATTTGTAATAACCATAGGTATAGGTACGGGTTAAAATATGGGGGACACTAGCGATGTTCATCGGGTCAGATGGTAGTGTCTTTCTATACTAACTAACTCTTTAAAAAAAAAAAAAGAAGAAGAAATATTAGAAAAGAAAAAAAAAGAAAGAAAAAAGGCATAAAAAAGAAAAAAAAATGCAAGCTTTATAAGAATTTACAAAGAAAGGTTGAGGAAATGGGCAAATGAAGCTTTGCAAATTATAATAACCATAGCAAATGATGCAAAGAAATTCTGCATTCTTAGGCTGTCGTGTCTAAAATGTTAACATGTCCGAAAAGCCCGTGGTTCGGATTTCGGCAAAGACACACTTAATTTAATGTTTCCTAAACCTAAAGATCTAAAGGATTGTCTGAACTAAAATGTGGTGGATGATCATTCGTTAACATCTAGACTTGGTCGATTAAGTCTCGCGCATTTTTCCAGGTCCCCAGGGGTAGGCGAGTATAAGGCCTAATTGTGTTACTGTATTTTCTTGTGGCTGTAAGCTATAATAGTGCAGCTAGTGAGGGGAAGATCTGTGAATCGAATCCCGGTGAGGACATAATTGATTTTTTACATTTTATGACCTGAAATATCTTTACATTTATAAATGGTTATTTTAGTGGTCTCGTGTAGGAGTATTATTACAAGTTAGTTTCTAATTGCTAAAATCAATATACCGAATAGGAAATTCTTTACTGGTATTTAGTTAGTAGAAAAGAGTTCGTAATACGCATTATTTTTCCCGTACCTTATGTGTGCTTTTTAGAGCAATGTTTATTTTCTACAGATGCATTCTAATCATTATACCATCTTTTAGTGCACGCCTGTGATACAAAACCTGAAGAAAATTTTCTTCATCATCACATTATATATAGTTTTTTACATTAAAACTTTTGAGTATTACTTTGCATGTGCCCTTCTGGAATGAACCGCAGTTGGTGAAAGTTTTAGATATAAAAAATAGTGATAAAAGTGAAATTTTTTCCTTAAATAACAGTCGTGTTTAAAATGATTGATAAAAACGCACAAACAATGGTGACCTGCGATAAGAGAAATAACACAGACGCATTATCACAAGATTGCTGTACTTTGAGTAATAAATAAAACTAACTAAAACCACAAATATGCCTCACTTCTCTCCCCTTCCTGCTTTTTGTACAGTTTTTAAATTATTCGAAAAGCAATTTCTACAAAAGTAGCATTTGATCAAGCATATTAATCGTTTGATAAGCATTAGTTATCTGAAGCCCCCTTTAGACGAAAAGGATGAAATCCATTTTTCTTCATTTTTAAGTTCTTAAGGAAAATAATTTGGTATCAATATGATAAAATAAGTTAATAATAATGGCTATTTATATTATCTTAGAAAAAGAATAAAAAATGAGAATCAGTATATTGTAAACATGTTTTATGAGTAGTCGTTTTATTATATTTAATAATGTATTTCAAAGAACAAATAAATATTATGTTATTTTTATCTAACACCTTCAAAGAAGTAAAATTTTTTCCTTACACATTACAAGGTATTTCTCCCGCCTTCTTATCGAGTCTTCGTGGTGTAGTGGTCTGCACGCTCAGTAACTGAGAGGTCCAGGGTTCGATTCCCGGCGAAGGCGTTGCTAATTTTTCATCTTGCCTGCTCCCAAAAAAACCTAATGTCTCTACAACATTAACAGCTAGAAATAGGCTTGACGCTTACTAAATTCCACTTATAAGAAGGATTTGAAAATCTCCAATCTCTATAGCATTTTTCAGGGATACTGAAATTTATTATCTATTAACTTAATTTACGAATTATATACCTAGGATGTTCACACATTTTTGTAACGATTTTGATTTTCTTCATGAATTTACATATTAACTTTAAAATACAAACGTGACTGGCATCCAATTGCAATAAGATTTGGTTTTCGTCTGCAGCGTTAAAAATATTCTTTTGTATAAAGTGTCGCTGAAAAATAAACAATGGATCGAACGCTATATTTTTGCGCTGTCCGAAGAGAAATACTCTTATTCAGTTACTCAAAAAAGATGAGAAAAACATGATTTTAATATTTCTACATGTAAAATAAGTGACATAATTAAAATATGAAAAGAAAGAAACGCCAAAGTGTACATCTGACTGGGAAAAAGGCAAAAAATGCATACCCAGCAAAGTTACGTATAGCTCTTATTAAAGTCGCATCTCATGCTTTAAATAAAAATCCAGCCCCCAAAAGATCAAAATCTTTAAATTGCAAAATCTTTAAATATCTTTATAGGAGCTGAGAGAATTAGAAAATATAATTTAAAGCTTAACGTGATTTTCATCACCTAACGCCGAAACATGTTTCTCAGCATAAGAATATGTTCGGATTGCTGTATGAAAATTATTTGGCAGGTGAAAAATGGAAATGTATATTTACAATTGATGAGGTTTTAGATATACTTATCTGATTGCAACAGAAAAAGATCGATTTACAACCGAAAAAGAAGAGAAAAAGACTTAATATATTGGTTCAGAGAAAACAAAGAAAGATTTTCTAATGGTTTTATGGTTATTGCTGGATTCTTTTATAACGGAAAACTTAAAATAATGAAAGTAGAAAAAATGTTAAAATTAATTAGGATTACTGTTAAGAAATATGTTAATATGTTTTAACATTTATATTTAAAGGAATTCTATCTCTTTATCTAAACAAACATCACTTTGTTAAGTTCCATTAGGATAAAATATACCTCTAAATCTAATGCTCTATTTTTTGAAAAAATGAAAAATGAAACCGGAATTTAAGCTATTCCCTTTAAATGTCCAAATCCTCTGATGTGTCTCTAATGGATTACTGTGCATTTGGACTTTTAAAACAGGCTCTTTATAAGCCGCATCCAAAAACATTGGATGGAAAATTGTGAAGGAGTAGTGGAATAAAATCAACGTTGATGTTTTAAGAAAATGACTTTTATCTTGGAAATCAAGATGTAATATGGTCGTTCAACAAAAGGGATATCAGTTTGAACATATTAGAAAATAAAATGCTAAGGTTTTTTTATACATAAATCTTTGCAAAATCATTACAAAAATGTCTAAACACCCCTGTAATTTAGCATTGATTAATTTAAAATGAAGCTTAAAATAATAATAAATAATAAACAATCAGCAATAATAATAAAAGTACAAAATATTAAAAATAGAAATAAAAGATTAAATAGATTATGTGTTTAAAGTTAAATTTCATACATTTAAGTATGAATTTAGTAAATTATTAAACTAACTAACTGCCAATAATTTGTGTGTTTTATTTCTTACTTTTCCGGTAAACATTTTGATAGACAAATATTACGAACACTTTGAAAAACTCCATTCTTAACATTAACTGCATATGTGTACATTAACTGCATATGTGTACATTTTTATGCGTGCGCATTGAAAGAAAATAGCAAAACAAAAATGCGAGACCATGCACTTTAATATATATATATATATATATATATATATATACAGCACTTTATATACATATATATTACAAACACAACGCGTGAAATAATATAGGTATTTTCAAAGCTCATCACGTATCAGGAAAAGTTTTATCAAATTTCAGATCTGAATAATATGATGGTCTCTCTTTTTCATGTTTCTTGATGGAGTATTGTAATAGTACCAGAATAGCTCAATTCCCTTCACATGTTTCGCGTGTCTCAAAGATTATTCATAAGTCTAAAAAAAATAGCAAGTCCCACGAATAGAGTGTGCTTCCAAATATCGTGTGAAAGTATGGGCAGTGACCTACGGTTCCAGTTTAAAGTAGATTTTCAGGCTGAAGGTAATTTATTTCATGTGACGCCTTTCAGTGGAAAATATAGGAAACTAAAATTTCTATACTGGTCAGAAAATGGCTTTTTATGGCTAAATTACTCAAACGGGTTTGAAAAATCACCTTCCTGCAATCAAAATTACCTGAATCGTCAGTAAATTCGTAACTTAAATTTTGGGGGATTTTGTGCAAATGTTGCTAGTTTTAGAATGTAATTTCTAAAATATATCCTTTACCTTCGGAACCGATAAATATAGACGAATGAATTCCAAAATCCCGTTTATAGAAATTCTAAAAATTTAAAAAAAAAATTTTAACGTAATATAAATACTGTTTTCATATGGCTGTTAAATTCAACGTTCTGGACGTTCTTTTCGCCGGGTAAAAGTGGTTTGAATCCTGTAATCTGAAAAATAGTTAAGATCCAGTTTTCTGTTAAAAGCCTTTAGTAGAGCAAGGAACAACTTGAATGATTTATATTAGAGTTGCTCAGTATAGTGATCGCATAAAAATTTAAATTTCGTACGTTTTTATTAAAATGTGTCAGGTGATCAAATTTATTCTAATATGGATGCTACTTTATTTCACCTCTTGCAGTGGAAAAATGGACGTATGATCAACTTTTAGATCCAACATTTATTTAATCGTGCATTCATTTTGAAATAAAAATCTCCATTACTATCCAAACGGGCATATATTCTTTATTCTTACGTAAGAGCTATCTCATACATCATAACATTACCATTATAAATAAATTGCTGAAAAAAGCTTACCTGAATACACTTTACATTATAGAAATTTAAAATTTGTATCATTACATTTGTTTCGTTTTCTTGATTAGTTAAATTAAGTTTATATGAAGCAGGCTTATGTTTAGACACTATCTCCAGTTAAACTGACTGAATCTCCTAGTTCCAGCTTCAGTTCAGAATATCGTCAAAAATAATGATTTATGTCTTGGATTCTATTTATAAAGAAGAATTAAAATCTGTTTACATTAAGAGACGACTTGTCACCATTTTATTGGCAGGTAAAGTTTTGTTGATTAAAATCTCATGATGGGATAGAAATAGATATTCAGAACACTGAAATGTACCATTGCTCAGCAAATGTAATACCGATACACCACCAGTCTATAACCTCAGCTTCCCCATGGAAGAACAGGAGCGCAAAGTACATAACCTACCAGACTTAAGTGAGAGCTCGTTGTACTGTATTACAGTCTTTTTAAAGTTCTATGACACAGTCTTTTTAATATTTTGAGTTGCAATTTACAATACATTTAAATTTAATCTAAAGCGATGCCTAAAAATCAAGTTAGTTCTAGCAGTTTATTTTTGGACATTTATTCATGGACTGCAAATTAACAAAAAGTGGTCATTCCAGATGCGCATCGAAGATGTATTCATACATTTTGTATAGTTTCTATTTCGTATAAGCGTGTCAGTTATCATCTCCCTATAAGCATGGGGATGGAAAACCTTCTTCTTTTGAACACGCGATAATAAACTGTAACTACAACTTTTTTTCAGTATGTTTCTTCCTTCACGTTTCATTGGAATGAGGCAGAAATTCCTTCGATTTCTTTACTTCTTCGATGACAATCTTGGTGTCTGAAAGATCCAAAGGTGTTCCTAAACCAAGTTTATACTTCCCACAAAAAAAAAATGAAAATTCTCGAAAACGAAAATAATAATAATAATAATGTCAAGTTTCTAAAGTTATCAAAATATAAAGAAACTGAATAAATTACTCCCAATTCAACGATATCCTTTTCTATTTAGTTAGAACAATAGAATGGAAAGCGAAACGCATAAATCGAAGAGCGTCTCTCGATGGCTGGGGACCTTGGGGAGAATGGATCTGTACCAAATCTTGCGGAGGAGGTAGAGGTATGCGGAAACACGATTGTATCGATCCTGGACCTGGAAAATGCCAAGGTAAAATGTAAAAATATTTCATATGTATAAATCCTCTTGTGACAATTATTTGCACAACTTTACGAGTTTAAATTTACAGATTGACATATTATTGGTTTCTTATTTGTATAGCCTCATATAATATGCAGTTATTTAAGTAAGACGTTCGATTACCTTGAATCCGCAGGAAAGCATTCAGAAATTATGCATATCACATTGTGTAAAGTCTAGTGAAGAAGTGCTACGAAGTGCTGTTGGAAATAAATAAAGAGCATCCTTATTGTCATAAAATGACTTAAGTGTGAAATTAAAGCTTATGAAAAAATGTTTGGTAATTCAGTTATGCTTTTAGTTAAACCTAGGGATAACAATTCTTGCAACAAAATGGCAATAGTCAAAATAGCTATTTAATCACGTCGCGTGTTTTCAATGATTAAGTTTTGATGACATTGCGTTCTTATTCAAAAGGAAAAAAAATCTGGGACATTACGTTGTTGACTGTAACGCATTGCCATTAGTATTACAAGACTGCTTATTGGTACATTGGTACAGTTTTATGCACTTAATCGAATAATTGTTTGCTGATTTATTGATTGCCAGCATAATAGTAATTGTCCCAGTTTATGGATAGCCTTTTTTTTTTAATCTTTTTTTTTTTTTTTTTTTTTTTTTTTAAAGCCCAAAAGGGCTATTAGTCTCGAAACGGCATTTTACGTAGAATCACTAAAAAGCGTTGTATCATTTTTCAAATTGTTGCCACCAAATATTATGCATCATATTGTAGAATCTTTTAATCCATGTTTTTAGCCCGAAAGGGGCTATTACACTCGAAATAGGATTTTACATCTTCAGTTATAAACGGAGAATCACTTTTCAAATTGTTGCCACCAAATATTATCAGCCTGTATCATACTTAAAAAAATTAAATAACGAAGAATTTGCATGCATTTATTGCGAAAAAACAACGGTACCTAGAGCCATCAAATTTTGAATAATATAGTCCTCCACCCAAACATGGGCACCTGGAGGCTCGCTCGAATTTAAAATTTAGAATCTGTTTTATTGCTTATTTCATATTTAGTAAACCCTTAACGATTTTTTATTAAAAACCTCAACAATTTTAAAGCGAGCAATGGCAATACTGTAAGGAATAAAAAAGTTTTATCTCTAGCCCGAGATTTTATATCGGAAATTCCAAGAATGTATTGTTTTTAAATATTTTTAGGCTCTGTTAGCGTTAACCAAACGGCTCTCGAAAAGCATATGTGTGTGTAAATGAAAAAAAAAATAATAATAATAAAAAATGCTTCTTTAGGGGTAATATAAAATTTGAAAGCTTCCAATTCTTTATTTTATTTTTATTTATTTTACTATTTGAGAAAGCTTTGAAATCAGTATAATTAATTACATCCTTCTTACGCTTTATACACTTGCAGGTCAGCGACTGAATATGACTTCTGTAAGGCAGCTCGCTTGCTGCTGGTTTGTTTTCTTCTCAACGAGATGTTGCATTTTCATGGTTTTCCTTATATAGCATGAATACGAACCAGTTTTCCTTGAAATATTTTGTAAGAAAGATCTCTTCTCAGGCATCGCTTTTTGCAGTAATAGGTTAACCAGTCTGAGTCTTTAACCTCCTACTTATCTACTACTGATGCTACTACGTGAATTATTATTATTATTATTATTATTCAAATTTGATTCTTAATTTAAATGATAATTTAATTTGAATGACTTCTTATATGATTTGAATAAATTTCTATCGACAATTACAAGGAACCACGAAAACGCATATATGACATTACTGTATCCAAACAGATAGGTATTGCTAATGCTAGCTTCTTTTCGAAGTAAATATATATGTTACTGGCAAAGAATGAAACGTCGGCATTTCCTAAAATACCTAGGCATTTTATAGAATGTCTGGCGTTTTTAGGTAAAGTATGAAATATGGCAATTATTACATACTTAACCTAAGCACTGCATATAATACCTTATAAAGTTCTAGTTCATTTACGTGTCCTTGGCTATTAGAATTTTTACGAAAGTTTCTAGCGATTATTTGCTGGTTTTCCTACAATTATAAAATATAAGTCCAACTAACATGTAGCATATTTGCTCTCTTTCTCGGTATTCTTCCAAATGCCAAAAATGTATTCTTTTTAGTCTCTTTCTTTAATAGGCCGAAAATTGTTTGACAAAATATGATTAAACACGCCAAACAAACTGTTTGCGCAGACGATATTTGCTGAGGGGAAACTTTCGTTATAACCCGATATATCTCCACGACTGGTACACTGGTTTCATTCTACTATAGTATTTAGAGAAAAATAGAACTTATAAATGCTAAGGTAGTTGGGGAAAAGTTGCTTTTTTACCGCAAAAATGATTTGTAACAATAAACACGTCACAAAAAGGCAGTACAAATAGGCATTATTGGTGGTAATTATTTTCATCGAGTAGGAGCACATAACCTTCCATCCCATCCATTCCATTCGATCATAAACTTGATCACCAAACTATCTAATACCATTTCGACCATACATATGTCATGCATTTGCTAGTACTCAACTTCGAACCTTCTGCTTTCATACTTCCTAACAAGTAATTCTTTCAGCGACTGAGAGTTCCTTAATTCTTCAAATCCTAATTTTCGGTAATAACCGTGGGATACTTAATATATTATTAACGTACCTAAATATAATATTAAATGTTATAAATATATAATTTTTTAACTTAGTGTCATTCATCCCACAACAACTAGCACAATTTGACTTTACTCAAACTTTCGGGTTTTTCTAATGTGTAACGTGTAACGTGAACATTATAATTTAATGTTAGTTTTCAAAATAAATCTAGTTACTACTTCTCCATCCATCTGGAACTTAATATGCAACATGTCTCCATGCTGGAATCTTGGTCTTATTATCTACAGATTGAAACACTTTTAGCGCTTGCTTAACTGCTCGTACGTCCAACTTCTTGCATCCACAGGACCTAACAACTGATTGCCGGTATATTTAAACCGCTTAATATAGACATTATAACTTTTTGAGATTCCGCCACAGAACACAGAACAAAATGAGTTTTAGCTTCTTCAGAAAATATAACACTGACCTTGACCCGTCAAAACTCAAATTTGGCTTTATGTCATTCTAAATGGGTTCAATATTCCTTCCAACAGGTCACTAAAGAACTTGGTATCAGAGCTTGCTGGTGCTGTCACATTCCTTTCCAACTTCACTATCCCTTTTGGTCATTTTCCTTTCCGTACATCCACTATTATCAATAAAAATTTAACCTTTAAGCAATACTAATTTCAACTACTTACTAATGTCCTTCTCAACGTTTTACTTCGGGCGCCACTGTAACTTCTATAGAGGTTTGAATAATTAAAAGGCCCCTCCAGTGGCCGAGTGATTAAGACTACTGAGAACCGGGATTTGGTTTCAGGTTCTATCCAGAGCAAGCGGGGTAACTGCATGCTTGGTTTTCGGGTTTTTCTAATGTGTAACGTGAATATGTGAGCCAGAGATAGAAAGTCGTTCAATAAAGTATCCTTTGCCCTAGGCAGGTAGCCCTCATGTGCATTTCCATATTAAAATTACCTAATCTAACCTAATTACCGTATTCTTCGATATATAAAAACATTTTTTCTTTGAAAATTTCGCGTCTAGAAACTGAATATGTCTTACACAACCAGTGATAATGGAAACTCCATCGGTGACGTTGAGTGCCCCCTTGTTGCTCCTTCAGAAAATATAACACTGACCTTGACTCGTCAAAACACTATTATCAACACTATACCCTTATAAATATCCATGCCCTGCCCTAGATTCGAGCCTAGACCCATCGGTATGGTAGTCAGCGTCACTAACCACTGTACCGGCTAAGCGGCTACAGCAAGTGGCAGTGCAAAGGTGCGTGTTCCAGCGAGCTTCTGGTAATAATTACATTCTGGTTTTAACCTACGCCACTTGCCGTACATTTTGCATCGCCATCTGATTTGAGCGAGTAATATGATGAAATAAGGCATACATAAATGAAATTTACATAAAGCTATCTCTAAGTAAATTTAAATCTTAAATATCCTAAACTTTTATTATTTCCTAACATTATAATTAAATATATTTATAACATTTCCTTAAAATAATTAGACAGAATAACTGATAGCATTTTGAATTTAAAATTCATTCAGTATATTCCCTAAATTACATTATGTTCTTTTCTGCAGGTCGCTGGTCTCAGATGGATAATTGTAACACCCAGCCTTGTCCAAAACCTGTGGAGAAGCCTAGCTGGTCCGAATGGATGCCTTGGGATTGTCCTGTTTCTTGTGGGGGAGGAGAAGGAACCCGATCTCGTATATGTATTGACCCCGATATTTGTAAGGGTCCATCAGAGGAAAAAGGCCGCTGCAATACAAAACCTTGTCCATCAATCAAGGAAAATGTACCACAAAATCTCAAAGAAAGCGCTCTCCAAAGAGTTATTTCAATGCACAAAAACTTTCAAGTAATTAATATAGTGTTTAACTAAAAGTATAGTGGATATTATGTATCTTTAAATTTAAAACCAAAAATTGTTTTGGAAAACCTGTTTATTGTTGCTAATATCATTTTCACCCGGCTCACTTACAATGAAAAATAATGTTACGCATGCAGTAAATGGCGTCCAATTTCTCTTATATTCTAGATTTTTTATAACCATTTGAATTTGAAACTTCATACTTAAACCATTTTTAATTTTTTTAAATAAAATTCACATATGTCGGCAGATTCATTGTGTAGCCTCTTCAACTGCTCAAATTCTGCTTTTTCAGAGAGGGACACAGAAGATAATGCATCCAGCTTAAATCATAATTAAAAGAATATTTTATGCGAAAAAATTCAAAATCTATTCTAATTTTAATATTATAGTTAACATTTTTTATCCAAGCAGATAATTTACCCATTTTTAAAAATATTCTTATGAATTTCTGTTATTAATTCTTTAAAATATTTCATTTAAAATAGAGCCTCATCAACTGATTCATTTTCAGTTTGGGACTTTAATAATGAGAGGTTAAACTGTAATCCGTCTTTGGAAAAAACAAGTAATGATATTTCTATGTTTACAAATTGTGTATAGCTTAAATATCCTAGTTTTTTAATGTAGAGACAACAGAAATTTATGTTCGAATTTATTCATTCTGTAGATAAAGCATGAATATGTAAGAAAGAAGTTATTTGAAGATAATAAATTACATGTTATACTATCAGATCTCTAAATAAATCTCGCAAACTGTAGCTCAAAAACAAAAATAATTTTCTGTTGAGTTCAAGCAGACTTCTAAAGAAATTCGGTTTGTTTATAAATATGTTAAAATTAATTAAAAAAATTAGTTTATTTAGAATAGCTCAATTACTAACTCAAGCTAAACATTTCAGCTGAGGCTAAACTTTTATAAATAGCTTTTTATTTTAAATTTCTTTTTCTTCTGTTCTGTTCAAAGTAATACAAAAATTTATTTTAAATAGAAAAATTAATTTCCAATTATATTTCATGTAATTTAAAGTTAAAATGAAATTATTCTTGGAAGGTTTGAAATACAATTTTTCAATATATTTACTTGTTCGACACCATTCTGAGTAATTTTTGTTTTACACAGAATGTATTGTCTACAGAATTGTTACATATACAAAATATTTAGAACAGCGTCTCTAAAATTGATGTATAGTATCTGAATTAAACATTTTTTTCATTTTTTTCATCTTAAAAACTTTACCATAAATCTTAAAATTAATAAAATTATTATTAATCTAAATTAACGTAATATATATTGAATAAATATTAAACTTTAAAAAAAATGTGTTTTCTGTTTTAGCTGCAGAAGGGAGAGTCCGTAACTTTGCCTTGCCTAGGAAACTTGCAAGGACGATTCTACAGCGAATTTCCTGACCTCAAGCTCTCATGGATGCTAAACAATCAAAATTTTCAATTAGATAAATCTAGAATGATAAAAGATGAAGGTAGTGGAGACATCAAAATTTCTGAAATATCTCCCAAAGAAAATGGAATCTTTATGTGTGTCGTTCAATTGGCTGGAGGTGATAGACTTCCAACATCTTTTGTTTCTGTGGCAGTTCAGAATGACGAACCAGATATAAAAGTTCCAAAAGGAGAGTCCTTCACGCTTGTATGTAACAGCAAGCCCTTTGAAATGATTCCTACTCCAATGTCACAACACTGGTATCACAATTCTACTTTATTTAAAGAATATAAAAATGCTAAATTCGAGAAAGTTGATGAACTGGACTTCGATACCAGTAAATACAATGATAGCGGTATATGGTTATGCAAAGTTATAGACAACACCGATAAAACTCGATCTATGAGGGAATGGGCAACCAATGTAATCAGGGTGAAAGTTGGACCACCTTTACCTGCATGGAGAAAGGCATTGCCTTATATTTTGGGTATAACTATTCCTTTGGTATTAATCGCAATTGTAAGTTTTATCTTTTATAAACGTGTCATGAAAAAACGCAAACTAGAACTAGAAGATGAAGAAAAGTTAATTTCTGAAGCGAAATCAAAGAGGGGAATTAAAAAATCCAGAATATCTCCTGAAAAGAAATCGAAAATTCCAACTAAGAAGAAATTGGAAGATTCGAAGAAGAAAGGTAAAACTGTTGATTTGAAAAAGAAAACCCAAAAAGATGATTTCAAGAAAATAACAGAAAAAGAAGATGCTAAGAGAAAAGCGAAAAAGGGAGAACCGAAGAGAAAAGTTAAAGATTCAGATAAGCAAGCTAGTAAAAAGGAATTTCAAAAAGTCAGAAAGAGTTCTCCGAAGTCATCCCAACTAAAGGATAAGGGAAAGAACAAGAAAGAAGGTACCAGGAAGAAAGCGGATCCTACGAAAAAGTCAGAAAAGGAAGCCTCTACGAAACATATTGAAAAATCCGATCTCAAGAAAAAAAACAAAACAAAAAAAATGGTAAAAAAGAAACGCAAAGAAGAAGACTACAGAAGGGAAAAGGATAAAGAAAAAGGTTCGCATATATCATCACGAAAAGAAAATATTAAAAAAAGTAAAGACATTGCAAGTGCTACTAAGAAAAGAGTCCGAAAGAAATAGATGCTGAGCAGAGAAAGGAAATGAAAGAACCTAGAAATATAAAAGTATGAAAGAAGCGCTTTGCCACAAAAATAGACGAAACTCTTCTGGTTTGAATCACCATAACTGCAAGATTGAGTTCTGACTCGAATTAGATTTCGAAGCTTACTTCCATTATTTTATTTTAAACTATCGTACAAGATATGAACATTATAAAACTGAGTATCAGACGTGATATTTAAAATGATATATTCCTTCAGCAATATTCCTCATATTTTTCAATTAACGCTTAAACTTTATGCAATCAACATCTTAAAATTTCATGACGTACTCAACTTGAACATTCAGTTTACGTTTTATTATAAATGGCAGAAATTTCATGCTGATTTTGAAAAGATTTCAACCTAAGTTTCAGCTTTCTTTGATATAGTTACAATATCTCATTATAATTAAGTCTATTAATTTCTGTCATCATCAGCTATATTGAATTCCGCATACCATCAAAATGTAATGATGTGATATATTGAATATAAAATAAAGAAATAGTATTTTTCTCAAAGGACTTCTTTCAAATTTTTGAATTCAATAAGTACAGAAATACATTAGCAAGCAAATTTATCATTAGTTATACAAAGTGTAATTTTTATTACACATAAATCGATATATATTATTTTTTAAATCTGTTTTGACTCTGTAAGGACTTTAATGAGAAGGATGTAAGAAAATGCATTAAGCTTAGCAATGTAAGTAGAACAAAATCTTCATTACCGCTCATTCATTTAAAAAAATGTTTGCTTTATAGATTTTAATATTAGAAAACGATTCACAAGTCGCCGCTTAATGCAATCACGTTTGTCCTTTGCTAGTTTGACTATATTAACCGGATGTTAATATTAAATGATGAGAATAAATATCCTTTCCTTTAAAACGGCAAAGAAATTGAATAGAAAATATCATGAAACATTATGAATAGATATTTTCGCAGTAATTTAATTAGTAAAATGTAAAAGTTTGTTTATGAATTATTCATAACATCTTAAATGAAAAAATTCATTTAGCTACTGTATTTTTGGATATTATTTGACCGATGTTGAACTCCTAATCTTAATATTCGGAAAGCATTCCTCAACGGAACAGAGCATTGCAATGTAAAATTATAAATTAAGCAAAAAAGCAACCTTAGTTTGTAATAGATGTTTTCATGCATTTTTTCTTCCATCTGAAGAAAGAGGACTTGTGTCTCAAAATCGATAAAGATATTCAAAATCTGCGTCAAACTAAGGCTGTTTTCGGCCTAATTTTAAATGGTTGACTGAAATCGAAATTAAGATGTTTGACGACTTCGCACCTCACTTGGCGACATTTCTCTATCATATGGAAATTTTTATAGTTTAGCAATTTTCACCTTATTTAGTGAGTTTATCTATTTTAGCCTCTTTTATTTCAGTTAAAAAAATTATTCTATAGCAGTTAGAACATGTGAACCTAATTGTTAATTATAATAAGCGATGAATTATCCATTCTTTTGTATACGAACGGTTATACCTAGATTTAGTTTAGTTATTTAAAGCAATGGAAACTACATACAATCCTATATACTTATGACTATATACAATCCTTCGATATGTTTAAAGAGACGGCCTTACCATCTCCTTTCCCCTTTTACAAAGTTTAACGGATGGGGGATTTTCCTCAGAAGGTTATGAACACGCTCAGGCAGTGTGGAAGAGTTTCAAATTCTGTACGAAGGGACAATATCATCACTGTTATGTTAAATAGGATGTCTTTCAACTGGCGAATGTATTCGAAAGTTTTAGAAAGCTGTGCCTGCAGTTTTATATGTGATGACGTCTCCCGTCTGTCCTGGCAAGTATGCCTAAAAATGATTGATCAGCCTCTGGAACTCTTAACGAATATAGATATGTTTCTATCTGTAGAACAGAGAGGTGGAATTTCAACGATTACAAAGCTGTGGGGGCAGGCCAATTAAATTTCTACAAAAACCAGACAGTTACATCATGTACGTAGATGCAAACAACTCATACGGTTGGGCGATGTTCCAATCATTGCCATATGGTGAATTTGAATGGATGCCAGCGAAAGCAGTGATACCAGAATGGATTCTCTCTATTAGTAAAGATTCCACCGGAGGATATATTTTGAAAGTGGATTTGAAATATTCTAAGGAACTGCACGATTCCCATAATGATTAGCCTTCGCACCTGAAAAGATGAAAAATAATTTAGGTCTTTATCCTTTCTTCCTGAAAATCCTGCCCCATCAAAATTTCAATTCATCAAAATTAATACCCAATCTGAAGGATAAGAAAAACTGGGAACCTGAAAATTAAAAAAAAAAAAAAAGTCACTGGCTACGCCCACACCTTACACTCCGTTTAGGTGAACCACCATTTGATGTCTGCTTACGTTTGAGAACTATTTAATGTCATTAATTCTACTCTTAATTAGATGGAATATTTATAACAAAAAATTAACTTCTCTCTTTGAATTAATGAAAAAAATGTAATAAAAACGTACCTTAAAAAAACTTGATTTCAGAAATGACATTATATTATGTCGAATGTAAACTTAGGCGCGCTATCCTAAGCAATAAATAGTTATGTTGATGATTAATGGAAATCAGATGATATGCCCTAATGCACTGAGAACGAAAACATTATCCCGAACATAATACTGGTACGAAATGTACAAGCGCGGTGGGATAGCTTTAAAATCCAATATCCAAAATATGTTTGAGTGTGGATTTAAAATCCACACTCAAACATATTAATTGAAGAATGATGCACATTGTTATGAAATGTACAGGCGTGGTAAGATAGCTTCCCCGCAAAGCAGGTTTAGGGTTGCCATAAGAGGACAAGGGAAGGCAGGGTTGCCTCATTTGGCGATATTTGGCGATATACTATGGACGGTTGGAGAACCTTCATGAACGAAATCTTACCGGTTTAGCCCAGAATGTTCTCGAACACAAGCCGAAATCTATATAAATCCTGCTGGTCCGCAGTAGTGTGTGTATGTGTGTGTGTGTATGTGTGTGTGTGTATGTGTGTTGTGTGTGTGTGTGTGTGTGCCTCGTCGACAGTGCGAGTTAACTAATTAGTATCGAGTTGGTGTCTCGTCTAGCGAGTCAATCCCTGCGGAGTCGATCGAGTTGACAGCCAGGCAGCGATTGCCGAGCGGGTCGTTGAGTGCACCGAAAGAGTGTCGTTGTGTATCGCTGTTAGTGCATCGTCGAGAGAGTGTGTTGAACTCCGGGAACGACTGAACCGAAGAGTCGAGTGCATCGCGAGTTGTAGCGTGGAGAGTCTCGAGAGTACGTGGAGCTCCGAGAACGACCAAACAGAGTCGGAAGCTGTACTCTAGTGTTTTGCCGTGAAGCTGTCTTCCCCGTGATATTCTGATAACCTGGACGCTGTGTCGCTGATCGTGTCAGCGTGTTTATAGTTGTTCATCGACGACTGTAAAAACGTGTTTTGGAGCTGTCCTAACAATACTGTCCAATAAAGTGTGTTTCGATACTTCATCAAGTAGTATTGTCATTATTCACTCCAAATCCTCACGAACGCCGTACAAACGTGAAGGAAGAAAATAACGTAACAACTGGTGTCAGAAAAGAAAAACGCAACAATACTTTAAACTTATTTCAAATTATTCTAACTATATATTTTTCTATTGCTTTAAATATGACATTTTAAAACTGGGCTTCGTAATGTGTTTCAGAGTCTAAATTTAATAACGAAATTTTAAAAACTTACTAAATTTAATAATTTCTTTTAACTTCTTGTACGACATAAAGGAAGTACTGTAATCACGAAAAATTTCGAGTGTCATATTTCAACGAAAATATCCATTTCGACCGCTCTCGAAACTATCTTGAACAATTTTTTGCTTGACACCCGGCTGTACCTACAGAATAAAGGACGGATTTTGCCAAAGCGAATTGTAAAATGGATTTAAAATCGATTCAAAAGAGATATTGTCTTGATCTTTGTACGTATGTGCGTATGTATATATCTCGTACAACTCAAAATTGTTGTAGAACGCTGAAATTTTGCTTATGGGACTGCTATAACATGTAAATGTACACCTCCCTTTTTCGTTGCAATCGGCCACGCCAAACGTATTATTACATGTATAAATTCTCCCTCTGTTTTACCCGGCTCAGTTTTTTTGTTCTTATATGTTGGTAAATCCTGCATTTTTGGCTCAAAAAGTGATTGAATTATGTTTTTCTTATTTTCTCGTTAAAGTTTTTATGCCTTTAGTTAATATGCATGCAATTAGAATTATCAACAATTAAAAGTTTAAGAGGAGAGTTAAGCTTAACGAGGGCGTCATTTATTTACATTTGAAACTCTCATGCTTTCCAAGTTGCTTGCTTTCGCGTAGAAACTCTAACCTTAATTGAAAAAAAAAATTAACCGTGTTTGTTGTTTTAGGTTTTTCTGTACTTGATAATTTTTAATGAAGATGCTTTGAGTTCTTATGTATTTTCGCCTAGCCGCAAAGTGAGAACTAAGTTGATTGAATGAGAAATATATCTCTAATGAAATTCGAGGGAATGTGTTTAAATTAAGTGAGCAAAAAATGTGCATAATTTAATATTGGACAAGGAAGTCATGTGGTGTTCACATCATATATTTTTAATTATGTTGCTAAGTTTTCATACTTAATTTGATGCTCCTTCTTGTTTGCGTCTGAGGCAAGCGTCTTACTTGCTTTACTCTTATCCAGTAGTGAGTTACAGAGATTAGCGGAAGCTCACGCGAGTCCTTTGCAAGTTTGTATCTAATTTACGAGCTCCTTCTTTTTGTATCCGTAAAATAAACAAATTTTCTGTGTTAAAATTAAAGGAATTTAAAGGCTTAACGTTTCATTAACGTTCGCAAGAATAAATTCCATGTCTTAGTCCGAGAAAAGTTATTGAATTGCCTCATAATATTTTTACAAAACAGATTACTGTTGGAAAATAATTATAAAACAAAAAATGAAGATGAAGAAGAGCGCAAGGGTGAAGAACGAAAGGGGACTTTTAATGTATGTTACCTAGAGGTACAGGACATGGACAAAGTAACGGCCCATGGCCAGAAGTGGATAAAATGATGTAAACAGTTCCGTTTTATATATTTTTCAGGATTGCCTTGAACTGGCTTTTAAGAGGAAAACTGCAGGTGACTATCGCTATTACTAGCTCTGAAGTGGTAATCATCTATTAGCGATTGAACTTGTACGTCAAATTTACTCGATGCATAGCGTGACTAAAGGACATGGCACTAACGTCTAACTCCTTAGCAAGCTCTCAACGACTGGTTGCATCCCGATTTTCTTTCACAAGCCTCGCAGTGGGCCTCATCAATATCAGTAGGCTGACCAGAGCGCTCTGCTTCTTGAATGTTATAGTCCTTGTTTTTGAACTTTCGGTACCAAGTATTCATAGTGTCATATGATACAACATTAGTACTTAAAGCTGAACACATGATTTGGGACATTCTGTAACTGACTTTTTACAACAGAACTGGAAGTAAATG